TCTTGTGGGTTTTCTCGAGAGTGAATACATACTCGAATACACTTTTAGAAAGAAGGGATTGTTACAGTGATATAAGAGCTAAATCAGGAGCTCTGCATAACTCAAATACGCCATTTAAAGGCACGGTTAAGGAAAAAAATGGTTACTGAGTTCTCTAGGAATACTTAGTGGCCCCCAAGGGTAACAGAAGAAACGCTCTCGTGCCCAAAAACTCGACGGTCACGGGATAGTGGAAGCCCTGTTGCTGTCTCAAGTCGCTTTCCCGCCTCTTCATGTCACGTCAGACAGTGTGGAGACTTTAAAGATTTCTAATTCTCGCTCTAGGACCCACCCACGATCAGCTGATCGCCTAGTGATGAGGCGATGTTTTTCCCATTCTTCTTTCCTCTGTTATTCTTTTTGCTGCCGTGACTCCTTATTTGATTTTCTACTCCTAGAGTCTGAAGAAGGTGAGCTACTTTTGCTGTTACTAGGGTTTTTGTTTGCTTATGCTTATAAGTGAACGATTTTTTTTGATTCACCGTAGTCTGTTATTTGCACCAGGACCCACACTTACGCAATGACCCACATTATTGCATTGCTCGTCCAAATGCTCCACCCTTCTTCATTCTTCTGGTCTCGTTCTCGTCCAGCCCCATTTTTAACGATTTTTCGAAGCTTTTTTTCACATTAGAAACATCATTCAGTTCCTTCGCCTTCATCGCGCTACTTTCCATCTTGTCTCCCATTTTTTTAGATTATCCAAAATTATCGTGAACTGTGCCTCCAACAACATTGTGACAATTAACATAGTCAGCCAGTAAGCCTAAATGACATTCTCTGACAGCAGATATCATCAACGACGAGGAAGGGGACCATGAAACTCCTTACGCCTTTAATTGCGATTCAGATGAGATATGCAAGTTTTGCATAGCTAGTCTGTGGGAGGCCGTCTACCGAACTATGTATATGTGTGGTGTTTGTGAATGGTTTTTGTAGCCCTTCTACACATTCATGCACTGATGCACGTTGGTTTGCTACAGTGATTCAATTCTATGAGGTACAGTTTGCTGTTTTTTCTCGGATTGTGGCGAGAAACTCCCGTCCAAGAAAGTTTATCAATATCAACGTAATTTCACCTCATCCATGGTAGTAAATGTTCGCAAAGGATCATATGAGGTGCTTCGTTTTCTGACCATTTCGTCCTCTTACCTCCTTGTCTTCTTTGAATGTAATAAGAACAATGAAGAAAGACATAGGGAAAATTACTTTCTTGGTGTTAGGCTTAATCTCCGAATAGATGTGAGCTCATGAGTGCACTCTTTTCTGTTTCGTCTACTGGAAGACAATATATCCGTTTCTGCGAGTGAATACTATATAACAGTTTTTTCGCAGTGAGTGTTGAACAGTACTGAAGAGATGATTCAAGAAGCGGTTCCATTCACACCTACAGTAGAACAGTGCGATTCCTGATTCCTGAAGATTCCTCGACATACGCTTGACACTTTCGAGGGCGTGTTTGGCCCACTCTTGAGGGTAACTATAGCTTGTCCTGAGCTCATGTTATGCCATTTTTTAGAAAACCAACTTCAATGACCTGAATCCCTTCTGTATGAAGCTTTTCATAATGTGATCCAGTTGAAGGCGTACGATCGGCTATCGTAGATAGTACTTTCAACACATCTCTGGAAGATGAATTTAGAACAGTCTAATCGTCACTCACTACTAAGCTCACCGTCAGATTTATGAAAACAATGCCCGTTCTTGAGAAACAGCTTGTAACTGATCAGCGTTCCAACTTGATCCTTACTGTTATTATTTTGTCTCGAAACTCAGCAACATAGACACTATGTATAAAAGTTCCCATTATTGACTCAAGAATCATTGGATCGAAAGAACATTATAGGGCTAGAGTGATCGTCAAAGCGAACGCCAACGACTTCAGTTGACGACGTCTGAAAAGAACAAGAAATCCTTTGCGTATCTTATTGGTTAGCATTTTCCAGTGTGCGGATTGCCCACTTCGAGAGATTCACAATGAGTGTGTATTGATAAGAAGCTTTTACCAACATACCTGTCTGCAGAGAAAAATTCTTCAACATATAGTTATGCAAACGCTACAATAAATTTTCTTTTACAACATAATGCAGTCTTTATTTCTACGATTTAGCTTCTAACCACCCCGATTCTCGTGAAAACAGCATAAAATTGTCTCGAACCTCGGAATGAATCGCAAGGGATGTAAAAAGCGAATATACTTGACGTGAACATAAAAGGAATCGACCTTCTTGAAGAGTCCGTATAGTTAGCCCTTGACTGATTCGGTGAATATATGTATTGAAACAGTATCAGTTTTTATTCCTAAGGGGTGAACAGCTGCTAACTCTAAAGTGAATCATGTTGTGAGAGCCGGGATAAATGGCGACACGACTGGCAAAGGGGTTGGGTGAGTATCGGCTGGTGTCCTACCCACCCCAACCCTCTTGCCCCCGGGTCAATGGTGCCTTCAGGCGCTTAAAAAACATTACAGTATCAGAAAAGGGGCATGCGCTCTATTTTTCACATCTTTTTTTCCGGAATATTCCTTGATTGGAATACTCTAGTCTAGTAACCCATTGAGCACGTCGCTCACATGTCGGGCTCTGTAGTTTTGATACCTTTTCTGATATGACACAGAAAGCGCCTCTATATATCGTCCTTAATCTGTTATGGTTTGATAGGGAAACATCCTTAAGTGTTCTGTTTCAACTCGCGGGTGTGTGAGATAGGGCTTTGAGAAAGAAGTAAAATTAGGGATTGACCAGGATGTGACGGCAAGAGTTGCATGGGAGGGGTATGCGGAAGGGCTGCCCACACTGCGTACAGTTGGCTAGAGCTACCTGAGTGCATGCAACTTGGCGATATCGGTGCGAATTGTGCAACCTCTACAGCCTCTACACCGCCATGAATGTGTACGTCGGCTAAGCCTGTTTTAGGACGCTCTATCATTTCTACTTTGAACCCATGACAAACCATGAATATTTCTCCAAAGGAAAGCACTTACATCCTTCAGAATTCTGGGGGAAATCCGCCAGGGACATCTTTAAATGGAGAAGACTTTCACCATACCTTACTATTTTGTTAATGAAGTGCTGATTACAGTATAGCAAATCATATTATATTTCACTGGTAAGATATCGGACTGTACATAATGCAACACATGTTGAGGACCGACCGGAAGCAACCCTGCCAACCGCTGAATCAACAGTAGGTGTTTGTTCGGTATGCCGTTAGGTAAGCAGTCTGTTTGATACCTTCCCTGAGGCCAAAGCCGATGTGTACAGCAAGGAGAAGTGATGGCTCAATAGGCAGAAACTCATGTATTGGCAATCAGGTAAGCTTCCCTGTCGGCTTTCCTGGCGCGGACGCCGACATAGCATAGATTAGAGGACTCTCTACATCACAAATTGCGCGCTCCAATCTTCCATCACATTCCTGCGAAACGCTGCGGGTGCGGCGTGCGCGACGCCGTTTTCGGAGGGAAGATACCGGACCTGAGATGGCGGATGGGGGGTATAGAGTATTTCAGTTCATGTCTATTCTGTTTTGGTGTGCACAACCATTTTACGTTTCATTCAGGATTGTACTGGCGTATGGATTTACATGACCTGGGCACTTATTCGTACCGGCCAGCCGATATACGGTCAGCTTAACATTCTAGACGAGCTTGGTACCAACTCACCTATCCCAGAAGTATGGAGAGTGTGGCAGCCCTGAGCGGAGCCAATTCGGTTCTCAGTCTATGCGAGTGATAGTGTGTTACTTGACACTACATTGCCCCGGCAAGTCAGAATTCATTGAAAACTTTTCCGATGATAATATAATATTAGGTGTGTGCATTAATTTCCGCCTTTTTTGCTGGGAAAAACATATTTATTACAAAAATAAAACCAAATGTACATTAGCCAATGTATTGCCAATCGTTAGCTACAACTTCTTGCCATCTTTATGGTAGCTTGCTGATTTCGAGACTAAAAAGTCTTTATTTTTCAAAGCAACTCAGTCATTCACCCATTTCCGCACTTTTTCGGCATTCCGGATGCGTGTATCTGCCAAAATGACTTGCATGGACCTGAATAGGTGGTAATCAGAAAGAGCAAGAACCGGAGAGTTTGCGGGCTGAACAAGCTGATCCCATCCAACAACTGCAACTTTTTTTATGGGCATTCTTCGCAACATGGGATCTGGCGTGTTCGGGGTGAAACAGCACCACATGATATTTTCTTGTGACTAACGGCCGCTTTCAGGTGGGAGCATCCTACACACTGTCAAGTTGGTGTTCGTAGCGGTCAGCAGTAACAGTTTCGTTCGGGCTCAGAGCTCATAGTACACAACACCCTTTTGATCCCACTACCAAATACACCATTACTTTTTGGCAATGGACATTTCGCTTTCGTTGCAAACTCTCGGGTGAAGAGAAACCATCTAAGCAGGTTCGTTCAGATGGAGCTTGTCCTCCATAAGCATCGAAATGCAACCGGTGGGTCTTAATGCCAGTTTTCTTGAAATCAAACAGTAGGAGTAGGGCCCCCGGGGAAAACGGTTTTCACGTTTCATGACCAATCAATGTGTGAGTAGCGGGATTTTGGGGAAAACCGACCTGTCTGCCCTTGAATAGGTAGCCAATACCTCATCTTACAGAATATGACAGGTCTCCCCGGTAACATCTAACATGGTTCGCGCAATGACCCTTCGAATTCAGCGGCAGAATTTAATGCACACCACCTAATATATGCATTTTTTTCAATGCGATTGCCATTCTTTGTCTTGACTTCAACTTATTTTGGTCGTGCACCCGTATATGGCTAATCATTGTGGCAATTTAGAGCACAGACAACCACAACCGAACTACGTCAGTAGTATGTATGAAACATCTGGAAACACCAGTTCTCCGTAACCGTGGTACATGAATTTTTTCGAACTTTTACCGATGTTCAAATGTATTTATGTTTTCTTTGAACATAGCGTGACTACGGAATGATTCATCGTAACGGTGAAATTTTCACAGCGGATAACGTCGTCGACGTGTTGACGTGGCGACATCTGCAAAGAGCCAGCAAACCTTGCCGTATCTTTGCATTTCCCAAAGTGTAGATTGCCCATTTCGAGAGGTTCAGGTTACTCGTAAATTTGAGGAGTAAATCGTACCAGATTTCGTGACTGTAAAAAAAAAACTCATGAATTATCGGAAACTTCTTTGCAGTCTCATCAGAGTAAAGAGATTCCAATCTATTTCTGATGCACTGACTTCTGTGCAATGAGGCATGGTAGCCTAACTTTTATACAGGCAAACGTTCCATGAAACACCTGTGAATGCGGTACAGAAAACATGTTTCAAACGTCGAAAACCTTTGTAGCAAATGCTCTGTTCTTTGACTGTTTGAAGCTTGAATTGCAAGCTGCAAATAAATCAAATGGGTAGAGCAATCATGGTTGAAGCTCAATATGTTTTGCATTTTCCCTTTCTAATTTTTTACCATTCTTAAATAGCAGTGAAAATTACTGCTGTTGTTGTTATCGGGAACCTACTCCAATTTGATTGAAAGCTTGAATTAAAAAGCGATGAGAAAGAAAAAGTAGTGATTCTAGCTCTCAGTATACAAAACTTTAGAAAGGACAAGCGATAGGGGAAAGGGTATAATGAAAACTAACCGTCTGGGTATGATGGGGAAAAACCAAAAAAAGGGGAGGAATTATTTCATTGAGCGGCATAGTAGAACAGTAAAAAGAAAGATGACATAGAGCAAAAAGTGGAAAGAATCGACTTAGTAGCATTCGTTCGGATAATAGACCATTACTGACTTTTACTCTATCCTGACAAGAGATTTGACGTGGAACTGTTGAATCCCACGCCCACATACTATCAGAAAATTCTGAGAAATAAATAGGCGTGAGTATCAACAAAACAAAAGGGTTCAATGTTCTGAGTTCCCATGGTTCATTTATTAAAGGAAAAAGAATTGAGGAAGTGTTGTTTCTTAGGGAGTAAAAACAAAAATACACTGACCGAAGTTGAAGGTTCCAGGCAATTGTCATGATTAGGAAGCATGCACTCAAGAGTAGGAAGTTCATGGCTAGTCGAATTTCACGATTGATACTCTGAGCTTTGTGCTCTCTGTGAGCTCTCTGAAAAAGTGTAGCTTATCATTTAGTCCTCGTTCCAGTGGCAATTTTTGAGTCCTCAAAAAGCGGTGCCAAACTTCAAGGACTCAAGAAACTGCCGCGGGTTTATTTCAAAATTCCATGGAGTTCTCGCTAAAGGTCAGAGGCACGCTTTACGATATGATTGGTTTCTGTTATTTGCAATGAAGTTACTGAGATTAGATTGGAACTGTGGCTCCGAAGAATAACACAAGGGCTGTCGAAAAATGGTCTAGACAGGGTGTTGTAAAAGCTTTAAAATCGGTTCGGCCGGCACAGACGCTGAAGGTGGCCATGTTGTGCCGGGCATGGCACCACTGCCCTATGACGAGAGCAAGCTTGAATGAGAGGCTCTCAGGTGGTCATTTCGTATCACTCCCCTTCCTTGTTACTCTTTGAAATGTTACTTAAAATTTTCGCTTATCTTCACCACTTTTGCACTACTCTGCATGCAAAAAAGCTTCCATTCTCTCACTCGAAATGAGTACCTCGAGCTTATTGTACTGTGATTCGATGCACATGCCGCCCTTTGCTGAAATGAGCCTCTCGTCCGAAATAACATTACGAAGGTAGCTGCTAGATAGAGGCAAACTTTCAAAGCTCTATGCTCGGTGTAATGCGAAGGGTGCGATACTTAGGGTGCACGGTAGGTCCGAGGAGGGGGATGGGCCGAATTAATAAGTCTTGTGAAAATGGTATTGAATACCGTTTCCATCACTGTGTTATCGACAGGAAGAGAAGGGATGGGCATCTTCGTCACGGCGATTCGAAGCGTACGAATTTTCCAAATAATGGCTATGTCGGCAGCAGCCACCACAACTGCGCAGATTGTCTGTAATTTATCTTAATGAGGCGATGAATAAGTGATGAACTCTCAGGTTAGCCCCCTAACTGATGCCTCTACTGTGTCATATATTTATTGAAAAATTCTACACATGCCTGCAAAACGATGTTCCAAATCCAATATACGTACGAGTACGGTTTATTCATGTCAAAATACCAGCTGTGACTATGAACAATATAGGTATAGCCGCAGCACGACGTATACATTGGCACTGAATAAAAATTCATCAAAGAAGACATGCGGTTTTTTGCGAGGTGCTGCTACCGAAATTGAAAAAAAGGATTACCTGCGAGTGAGATACCGATAAGGACAAGAAAAAGGTTGATCATATGCATATGTCGTGACGATATTGTTCGAAAATTCGCTGGGGAAAATGCAGCTATAAAGTGAAGGACTGAGAGCACCAATAAGGCGAACAGTTGGCTATACCATTGCAGAACGATGATGAGAGTTGAAAGGTAAGCTTGCTGTGGGGCTGAAACGTAAAGTAGTATTACTGTTGCAGTGGCTACCAAGCACCTTACTTATGCCTCGATACTCACGAGGACTTCAAATGCTTCAAGATTCAATTAAATGCTCGCTTCGAAGATTTCGAATTTGCCTGCGCGTTTACGTCTTGTGAAAGACAGCCTGCTCCGCATAGGAAGTAGGAAATGTTTGGAAATTCGCTAGAAAGCAGCATCAACTTAGCCCATCTCTAAAAGTCCTCTGCACAGAAGGAAACAGCAACAGGAAGCCTTCTGTCCTATAGATAAAAGGATAGAGATAAAATCCTTGGACTTAGTCAATCTCTCCATGCGCCATTTGACTTCCATTCAGAATCGTAATGGTGTATCGAATGTATAATCCGAATTGTTCAGACGAAGCGAGTATTGATGCGGTATTCGAACCCGTATTGCACGTCTGGTAGTGCACCTCTTGCCACTAGACCACCCCGCCCTTGTTCTATAGATAGGAATGTCAACGGCTGGAAAATGAATTTTTCAACTTATTCTAACGACTACCTAGACCAACATTTTTATACTGAGTATATACTCCTTCCAATGTAAATCCAAAACTATGAGTTGAAGTAATCGTTGGGAACAACGTTTCTTGTCCTTACGTGGTTTTCGCGATCATAATGGACTAGTGATTGACTTGTCATCAGATAAGTCCAGCTAAACTCTCATGTTTTCCAACCAGTTGTTATGGAAGTTGTCAAGAGCTCACACAGTATAGAGCCCCTTTCTTAAAGACAAAAAATCAGGGATAATGAGTTCTTCTGCAATTGAGTAGGAAATAATGTTTCAGCTCACTTTTGAAAAGATCGTCGTCCATGAAATAACTGGGTACATCGTGAATCATTGTGTTCAAGTACTTAGCAATGTCCAATCCCATACATAGAAAAATTGTCCACAGAATAAGCTTTTCAGTGATTTCTTTCGTCTTGATGGCCATAAATATGATGGCTACATCTATAAATATGAGCACGGTGTTGACAGCAGTGTTGGCCACGTATAAAGCGGTATCCATATCTGTCATCTGAATTGATAAAAGGCAGTCTAAACAGAAACATCAAACAAGTCAGATGTAGCAAAGAACCTATGGTAAACATTAAGGCTCGATCATAGTTTTACTTCCGAAGCGTTACTTTCCCACAAACATGCTTAATTTCGCGCTTTCTTCGCAACTTTTCCTTTATTCTGACCTCTTACTTCCATTACTCACCTATAGCAACGTACCTCAGAATCATCGTTAATTGTGCTTTCAACTCGTGCTTCCACCTTAGCTGCTGTTGAAAGCTACGGGTAAAGCTCACGATTATGCCTTATGATGATGTTTATGATTATGCCTCCTACAGCTTATGTTTTCTTCAGCTACAGAATTACTATTTGAAGAAGTATCTGACTGGTGCGGCTTCACCACTCCTTCGACGCAAGCTCTGTCATTTTTTGCGTGCTTTTTTTTATTCGCGACATCACGATTTGTGTTGCTTAGGTTCATAGTCAAAACCGCCTTGGAAAGGTTGGAAGCAGTCTCTTGCAAATTGAAATTTGGGCAAAAGACGAAGAAGAGGTTTCCAGAAACAACAAAGGTGAGGAACAGCTGAGGTAGCAATGATTGAGAGGTTGGCAAGTAAGGCAAGTACCGCCCGAAAAGTGTGTGTCTAATGTGACTCCGCCCCTACTGATTACGGTCCCTTATAAGGAGACACGTTGATATATTCCTCTCCTTCCTTGTTCCTATTCTCTTCACTACCACTTTTGGAATATTCATGAACAGCCAACATTTTCCTAGCTTATCCAAGAGATATAGTGTTGGAGCTCGTATACTATGGGCTCTGCTAGGCATTATGGGCTACAATTTGTGATCTGCTGCGACAGAAAATCGAGAATGATGTAAAAAAGACCAGATTTCCAGGTTTTGATGACATACAGAGATAGAAGATCGAGGGGTTGTCAATCGAACTTCGTGTGGGATAGCATTCAATGCTGATACCATGTCTCTGTCCTGGAGTCTGTACATTATGCGCCGTACCGAGATACTACTTTTTCAAAAAATTGAATTTAATAGACTATTTGCACTTTTTTGACCAATAAGGAAAAGAGAAGCGCGTGACTAGGATTTGCATCTGATGCATATGAAAGGCTGGGCTGCATAACTAAACTTGGGTCTTTTATTGTTGCTGCCTCTGTATCAAGCCTAGTGAAAAAATGATACCACTACTTCCCTTATTCACAGAAGTGAGACAACAAAGAACGTGTTCGACTACATTCACAACTGTAGTTCCGAATAGATTGTGCCAGCCTCGACGATTTGATGCAATAGGATTTATTTATTTCGGAATCGGAAAGGAATTCTAAAAACTCAAGTAACTCACGTCATTGAATGGGTGCTGCTTGTTTGGTGATTAGCTCACCCTCCTAATTCTTAATTTCCTCAGATCCAGTCAGAATTGTGAAACCGCATTTGAGAAAATCTGGCAATGTCTGTTGGTCAAGAAAGCTTGGAAGTGAGCTCTGAATAAACATTTCTTCAGCTATCCCACTTTGATTGCCGGAAAACTCGCCTTTGGCAAGTGAATTATATGTTGCAGCGCTCTGTGTGCAGTGAATGAAGTAGCCCATGGTGAGACAAACCCAGGCCAGTGTATAGGAAGCCAAATGGTGAAAGAAATACTGGGTTGTCCGGACATAATAGCAACAATAAGGTTCGATCAGCGGTAGTCTTATTGATGACATATCATTCGATCGACGATTACTTACTTCGAACGACCACGCCAACCAACCAGCCATAGTATTGATCTCTCTATAATGTTCCTCTTCCTGCCATCGAACCTAACCAGGGAAGGATCCCAAGTCGAAGTGGCTATTTGAAATGAGACCTACACCGCTGGACGTGTTTTTGGATGCTGAGTTCATATCTGCACTCCAAATTTGCCGAGCGTTTCTCTGAACGGAGTTATGAAGGTGGTTTCAGGGAGCTTAGCATGAGAAAACCTAAATTACATGGATGTTACTCATCTCTCAACGGCGGCTTGGTGTAGTGGTAAGCGTGACGTTTTATGGGCGACAGGCTGGGGTTCGGTTTTTTGGGGGACGTGATTTTTGCATTATATACAATTTTTCCTTTGAGGACTAGAAGATACTCTCATGGTGAGATTATCACGTTTTATGACCTTTTAATGCTTAATCATTTATCCACATAAAGTAATACTTCAGTTTTACTCGCATGCCCATGCACTCCATATTCACAGTAGGATAACTTTTGTCACTTGAATGAACAAATGTGATACTCTAGTACGCAATACTTGAAACAAAGAAGCTTCTCACAATGGGAGCAACGGATGAAAAG